CGACAGCCTTGTGAGACAGCAGAGTCTCCATCAGCCTGGACCCCTGAGTGACTGCATGGAGCAGAGCCCCCTGCTGGCCAGCAGTGGACACGCAGCATCAGGGAGAAAAACACCTTTGTTGTTTTAAGCCACCAAGACAAGGGGGCTGTTTGTTATGCGGCACAGCTTGACCCATACATGGAAAGAAAGGGCTTGGACCCTCTTCTCTACCTTCCTATTCCCATGGAGAAAGCTCACCTCAGTGTCCTCCTTGAAAAAACTCAATTTGATCCTTAGATACGAAGGAGTCAGAGGCAGAAGACACCCCCAAGATAAGCTGAGAGCAGTTTTCTGCTCCACACTTCTGATAATTTTTTGTAACAGCCTCTTATTCTCTTGAAATAAAATTGATAATACAACCTACTACGTACAAGCTTCCCCCCAAAAAAGATTAATGAAAAGCTGTCACAGCTGTAACTATAGTAGAAAAGTATAATACAATTCAATCTGTAACAATATGCTTCAATATATAAAGGCTTTGACACTGCTGTGCCAGGTGATCTAAGACGGGAGAATTATCATGGATACATTGGGCTAGGAACTCAATGTATGTTCAAGATCTTCATTCACCTCAGTGAGCAGGTTTTTGTTTGTTGGTTGGTTGGTTGGTACTGGGAACTGAATCCAGGGGTGCCTAACCACTGAGCCACATCCCCAGCCCTTTTATTTTTTTATCTTGAGACAGGGTCTTGCTAAGTTGCTGGGCTGACCTCCAACTTGCAATGCTCCTGCCTCAGCCTCCTGAGTTACTGGGGTATAGAAGCATCTGGAACATAATACAGCTACATGTGCAAAAGGGGCCAGGAGTGATTTTTTTGGTGCTGCAAATACCACAGACCACGTGGCCACGGGTGCCACGACTTTCCAAGACGGTGCCGAGGCCCTGGGAAGGTTCCGTCTGTGGTCCACGGATCTGAGGCATTTACCTACCAGCTCCCATTTGGAGATGGAGTCCCTTCCGAGGGGGTGTGACAGCACAGGGGAATGTCCCCAGCAGTCATGCCAGGTGCCCGCAGACAGAACTGGCCCAGCACAGCCCACCGCAGGGTCCTGGGAGACACGGCCGGAGTCCGCTGCCCCCCGACGGCAGGTGAAAGATGGCCAGGGTAAGGCTGGGGGAGGTCGGTGGCAGGGAGTGGTACAAAGAGCCCCGGAGAATAACGAGGTCCCCCGCTTAGCTCATTAGTGGGCTCCCTGGGGGGTGGCCACAGAGCCAGCCGCCCAGCTGCAGAGGGCTCGGGGACTCTGGGTCCTGGGCACCCACGAGACCTGGGCCCTCAGAGCGCGGCCTGGCTGCCCTGCCGCCTGCCCCTCGGGGGCCTTTAGGGTACACCCCCACGGCTGGGTAACAGGGACGGCTCTGCTCCAGACACCCAGGGGCTGCCTCCAGGGTCTGGAGTGGACCTCTGGAAGCCTGTCGGATTCCTTCTCATCGTCATCTCACGTGGACACTCACACAACCTAGGAGATAGCTGGTCTCCCTATCCCCAAGCTAGAGGAGGACAAGGAGGCACAGAGAGGTTATGTCATTTGCCCAAAGGCACACAGTAAGCGGCAAAGCCCAGAAAGCCATCCCACTGGGACAGGGCAGGGACCCAACTCAGCCCTGCCACCTCCGGTCCCCTGTCGTCACTCCCTCTAACCATTTAGCTGCACTGTCTCTCAGTTACACTGGTCACTGAGCTTCATCTCCAGTGACTGGGGGACACTCTTGCATTACCGTCACTCTCATGCTCTGCCCTGCAGAAGTCAGGGTCTGATCCGGGGTGGATCACACCCGTGAGCTGGCTTCTGGAGTCAGACCCGACTGGGGAAGAGTCTTAGCTCTGCCTTTCCCTGGCTGTGTGACCTCAGCAGTTGACTCGCCTTCTCTGAGCCTCCCAGAGGGCCACAGGTCTGAGTAGGACAGTGCCGGGGCGCTTGAAGAGACCAGATCGTAGTTCTGGGTTTGAGGCTTTGGACGGTCACTTGGACATCAGTGTCCACCTGGAGCTGCCCTGGGTCTGGGGCTCCAGCTGAAGCCCTCCTCTAGAACCAACCCAGCTCCCGGCTCTGGACACAGAGGGGCAGGCACCCCACCCCACGCTGCATGGCCCCCCTGCCTAGCTGGCCCTGACCTGCTGCCCATCCACGGCCACCATGGTGTTGACATCAGGCCTGGCCAGCCGCCGGCCCAGCGTCCAGGACACAGCAGATGCTCATTAAACACAGCAGCAGCAGCAGCAGGTGAGCCGGTCACGGCCATCGACAGCCCACAGAGTGGACACACGGGCTTTGGAGATGGCCTGAGGGAGTCCCCGTCCCAGGCCGTGTAAGCTGTGGCCTGGGGAACGCACATCAGTTCTCTCTGCAGACGAGAACCCTTGTGACTGTCCCCACCGTGGCTCAGCAGCAGCTCCCAGGTCAGCAGTTAGAATGGCCTCTGCTGCCATTTTCTTTTCCACCCTATTTCCTGGTCGCTCCCAGTCCCTGGTGGATATGTCAGGAAGGAATGTTCTAGAATCAGTACCCCGGGGTGGAGTCTCCTCCCTTCCACTTCTTTTCTGTGTGGCCTTGGAGAGGAATCCTGCCTCTCTGGACCGTGGTTGGCCTGTCTGTGAAATGGGCCCACCCGCCTGCCGTGCCTACCTCTCAGTGACATTCTTTGAATTCAATGAGATGTCTACAAAGCCCTGAGTCCTCAGCAAGTGCTCATTTATGAAGTGCAATGAAACTGCTCCTTGTAGAAACAATGAAGGGGCAGAGTGGGAGGCTGCCAACCCCAGGGAGGGTCCACTCCTGCCTTTTATCTGTCTTGTTGGGGAGTACCCTGATCCAGCCAAGCCTGAGGCCCACCCAGCTCTCCCACACACAGCAAAGCAAGAAGTCAAGGGGATTCCGTGTATGTGTGTGTGTGTGTGTGTGTGTGGGTGTGGGAGTGTGTGTGGGAGTGTGTGTGTGAGTGTGTGTGTGTGAGTGTGTGTGTGAGTATGTGTGTGTGAGTGTGTGTGAGTGCGTGTGTGTGAGTGTGTGTGTGAGTGTGTGTGTGTGAGTGTGTGTGAGTGTGTGTGTGCGTGAGTGTGTGTGTGTGTGCGTGTGTGTGTGAGTGTGTGAGTGTGTGTGTGAGTGCGTGTGTGTGTGCATGTGTGTGCGTGTATGTGAATATGTGTGTGCGTGTGAGTGTGTGTGTGAGTGTATGTGTGTGTGAGTGTGTGTGTGCGTGTGTGCACGCGCGTGTGAGTGTGTGTATGTGCGTGTGTGAGTGTGTGTGTGCGTGAGTGTGTGAGTGTGTGTGCGTGTGTGAGTGTGTGTGTGAGTGTGTGTGTGTGTGAGTGTGTGTGCGTGTGTGTGAGTGTGAGTGTGCGTGTGTGTGAGTGTGTGTGTGAGTGTTTAAACACACAGGTTGGAATAACTACAACCTGCCACATTCTTTTCAAAGCCTTCCCAAGGCCCCCAGGGCCTCCCACACCCCAGCTGCTTCGGCTGCTCCTGGGGAGGCGGCTGGGGCAGACAGGGAGCAGTGGGGAAGCCTGCAGGGTGGGCAGCGGCCCTGAGCAAGCCTGCGGCAAGGTGGCCAGGGCTGACCGTCAGCAGGAGCCCCTCTTCCCACACTGGGCAGGGAGGGCCCGTCATGCCTGGCTCCCCACAGGCTCCCCACACGACTCCCGTCACCCCCATGAGCCCCAGAGAGTGGGAGGAGCAGGCGGTGGAGGGAGCAGAGGGGTGCGTCCCCAGGTGGCTCTGCACAACATACAGGGCAAGGGGGGTTGGAGTGTAGGGTGGCCTCTCTGTCCCCGCCCCCCATCCTTCAGGGCACGCTCCACACCACAGCCCGAGCCTCTGCGTCCAGCAGCGGCTGTCCCTGGCTCCCTGGGATCTGCGGAGCCCTGGTGAGCTGTCCCCGCTACTGGGATGCCTTGCAGTCTCTGGCCACCCACACCCCCCAGGGCCTCAAACCTGCTCTTCCTACACCGGGAAGGCCTTGGGGTGCGTCCATACGGACGCTCCAACACCAGCCTCCAAGCAGATCCCCTCCCAGACCCGCCCCCGCCCCCTGAAACCCCTGCCTCCTGCGGCTGCTCCAGCTCCACCCGGGGATCTCTGTCTGTCTCTCCCACAGAAGGGGAGGTCCTCCACTGTGTTGTGTCCTTGGACCTGGGACAGGGCCTGGCATGTGCTGCCTGATTAATAATGTCACTGTCACCAGACCAACAGAGAGAGTCCGGGGAATGAGGAGCGGAGGAAGGCAGGCAGCGGACGGATGATGGGCAGATGGACGGATGGGAGGAGGACCGAGTGGGTTGCCTGAAGGGAGAGTCCATGGATGGACAGATGGACAGTGGGGAAGTCAGGACAGAAGAACCCAGGGAAGGAAGCACCTCTAGCATATGGAAGAGAGGAAGGAAGGAAGGAAGGATGGACAGACAGACAACTGGATGGATGGATGGATGAATGGACAGATGGACAGACAACTGGGTGGATGATGCATGGATGAATGGATGGATGAATGAATGGACAGATGGATGGACAAATGATGGACAGATGGATGGGCAGACAACAGGACTGATGGATAGGTGGATGGATGGATGGACGGACAGATGGGAATGGTGGAGGGATGGACAAATGGATGGGCAGACAACAGGACTGATGGATAGGTGGATGGATGGACGGACAGATGGGAATGGTGGAGGGATGGACAAATGGATGGGCAGACAACAGGACTGATGGATAGGTGGATGGATGATGGATGGACAGATGGATGAGTGGATGATGGACAGATAGATGGGCAGACAACTGGATGGAAGGATGACGGATGGGCGGATGGACAGGTGGGTGGGTGGTGGGTGGAGACACACTGCCAGCTGGACACGCGCAGTGGCAGAGACACAGGTCCCTCCCTAGAGACCAGAGCCCACTGCAGCGCAGACAGCCCCTCCCTCCCTCCCTCCGCCCCAGGCCCCGCCCAGGAAGCGAGGCCGAGGAACCTGGCAGGTGGGGGGCTGACCCCAGGCTTTATTGAGCAGTCTTGGGTGGCGGACAGCAGGCCCTCGCCCCACCCTGGAGCCCCCTCTTCCTGCCCTGAGGCCGCCCAGGGCGGGCGGAGGCCGCGGACCGTGCCCCTCAGCTGCTGAGGAAGCAGCCCCGCTTGTGCCACTTCTGGTCGCGGATGCGGCGCACAGACTGCAGCTGCGGCTGGTTGGCGTCCCACTCGTTCCAGTGGCGGTACTCGCCCCGCTCCAGCACGTACTGGCGCCCGCGGTAGCCGGGGAACTCATAGCCGACCCACCTGCCGGGATAAGGCTGGGCTGAGGACAGCTGTCACCAGGCCCCGCCTCGGCCCACAGCCTGCTACCCGGCCGAGCTCCTCCTGGGCTCCCCAGTGCCCTTGGGATGCGCCTAAACCCGAACCCTCTCACCAGACCCTTGCAAAACCCCCAGGTGCTCTCTCCACGTCCCTCTTCACACTGTGCGCTGAGCCTCCGTACAGGCTGTTCCTCCTGCCTGGCACACTCTTCCTCACCTTGCCCTATTCCTCCCCTTCCATTTGCACCCCTTACCACTCCGTTTAGTTCCTTCTTCCTCTAGAAAGTCCTTCCTGGCTGAACTGAATAGCTCCCCAGGACTCCCAGAGGCATACGTCTGCCTCCACACCCTGATCACAACCAGCTGTGAATACCTGTCTCCTTGTCTGTGTCCCTATCGGCCTGGGAAATTCTTGAGGGCAGTGGCCATATAGTTCTTAGGGTTCCCTGTGTCCCATTACCTGTCACATAGTAAATGCTCAGCAAAAAGTCCCTGAGTAAATTTTCACAGGAAGGATCAACCCAAATCATAGGCCCACCATGAGACCTAACCACAAACACAGGGCAAGACGCCTTAAGGTGGCATTAACAGTGATATGCAGCCTAGAAGGAGGGAAGTGATTCAGTCTGCTCTCCTAGGAAGGACTCGGGTCACACCTCGTCATACATCCTTGATTGGGGGTCAAGGACTGTGAAGAAGAAAGAACAGTCCGAGAATCACTTTCAAGGCCTGGATATGTTCAGAAAAGGAGTAAAGGTTTAGATGGGGACAGGTAGGGGACCAATTTCAATGGAAAAAAAAATAAGTTTCTGGAGTCAGAGCTTCCTGGGGTCCCAGTGGTGGGAGCACCCGACGGGACCCCATCCTGGGTGCGGGCAACTGGGACTCTGAGCAGGATGGTCCCCTGCAGCCTGGAGGACACAGGTGGCTCCTGTGCAGAACAGAGAGCGGAGACGGGGCGGGGCAAGGGTGCGCCGGGTCCCTTACGTCCCGTTGATGGCCCGGATGCTGGCCACGCGGTCCTGGAAGCCGTGCGCCCACAGGCTGGGCACGTCGTCGTCCACTATCTCCATCTTGCGGCCGCTGAAGGCGGGGTTCTCGAACAGGTGCAGCTTGTGGTCCGGGCCGTCCTGGGGGAGAGCGGGGCTGAGCCGGCCACCCCACCCCGACGGGCTCGGGGACGCCCCGGGAGGAGGAGAGAGCCAACGGCCACCCCAGAGCTGACCCTGGACGGAGAGGGCCGCGGAGAGACTCAGCGGGACCTTAGAGCCACAGGTAGGAAACAGCTGTCATTCCACCCATGGCTACAGAGAGGGAAACTGAGGCCGGGGCAGCAGCGATGGATGGGCAGTGTTGACGCAGGCGCCACCCGCCCTGCTGGACCAGGTCCCACCCGGCCTCCCCTCGCACTGCCCAGGAGGAGCACCGGGTCGTGGGAGTGGGAGAAGGGCTCCCGTGGGCAGGAGTGGGCACACATGGGTATCAGAGGGAAGCCAGGAAGGACTTGAACGGCTGCAGGGTTCATTTCTGGTTATCTCCTGGGGTGTTTCCTGGACCCCAGGTTCTCATTTCCACAGGGTTACAAATGGAGACCCTAGGGCGGCATGGGTTAATGAGCCCCTGCATCCAGTGTCCACTCAGTAGCCGACTTCGTCTCACTATCATGGGGGCAGACATTTGGGGGTCCCTCCAGCCAGGCCATGGCTACCACCCAGGCGGGGGCTTGTGCTCACGATTTCCAGAGGCCTGAGGGACAGGAGGCTGTCACTGTGGCGGCTATTGGACCAGGCGTCCCAGCGAGGGTAGTCTCCCTTCTCCAGGACAAACTGCTCTCCCCGGAAGGACCTGCACTCAAACGCCAGCCACCTGGGGAGGGAGGGCCTGGGTCACCTCCAGGGCGGCAGAGTGGGCACCCAGGCCTGCAGATCTGGGGGATGGGTGGCTCTGACCTGGCTCCCTGCCTGGCCCCAGTGTTGCTACTGATTCCTGGGTCTCCTGTGGATGGACCGGGACATGCTGAATAAGTCTGAGACCCTGGACCCAGAAACCGTCGTGGGACATGTTTTCTAGAATCCATGTGAAGTCCAGTCTGTGAGGAGGGTGCTCAGAAAGTCTTAGCATGACACCCGACAGGCTGTCAGTGTTCTGTAGAGCACCCCCCCTCCTCCGCTCCTCTCTTCCTCCCTCCCTCCCTCCCCCTCTCTCCTGCTCTTCATTTCTCTATCTGATGTGCATCTGTCCAGGGTCACTCAGATGGTCAGTGCCAGCGTCTGGACTTGCTTGCCTTGTAGACATGGGTGGGATTCCTGACCCCTGGGGTTCAGTTTCCTCATCTGTGGAGATAAGAATGGCACCTCTCTCATAGGACGAGAGCAATACTTGTCAAACTTGAGATGATATTTTTACTTGAAATTATAAGTATCACCAGGGTGCAGTGGTACATGCCTGGAATCCCAGCAACTTGGGAGGCTGAGGCAGGAGGATCACAAGTTCAAGGCCAGCCTCAGCAGCTTGGCAAGATCTTAAGCAACTTAGCAAGACTTTGTCTCAAAATAAAAATGTAAAAAAAAAAAAAAAAAAGCTGGGGATGTAGCTCAGTGATAAAGAGCCCCTGGTACCAAAAAAAAAAAAAAAAAAAAAGGAAATTACAAATATCATATCCATTTATTTATATGCAGTGACATAAATTGAATATTCACTATTTGGTCATGGAGTCAGTCTGTCCTCTTTCCTGCCACTTGCCCTGGCAATCGAGAGCTTAAAGTTTTTTCGAAAAGAACCTCTCTCGTTCTACAGATGGGGAAACCGAGGCCAGAGCGGAAGGGAGCTGTCTAGGGCCCGCAGTAGCCGGTGTTGAGCTCCTGCGCCCAGGAGGTGGAGCCTTTCGGGGCCTGGACAGGTACTTACGGCCCGGACTCCACTTGGATGGAGCCCACCTTCTCCAGCAGGCTGTCGGTCAAATTGGGACATTCCGTCGAGAGCTCGCACCGCTTGCCCTGGAAGTTCTCTAGCTCGTACACGGTCACCTGCAAGAGCAGCATCCTCAACGTCGCACGCGCTGGGCTCCCAGCTCCAGCCCGCGCTGCCCCTGGGCACCACCTGCTCCCTGCCCTCCGCGCGGCGAGCCTGCACCGCCCCCTGGTGGCCGCAGCGGGGACACCTCCAGCGCCTCCAATCGAACAGGTAATAATGATGCCAACTCCAATGATTGGCAGGCGCCAGGAGGGACCCTGGGAGAGGAAAATAACCGGCGGGAGAGCTGGAGGGAAGGAAGTGAAGCCGCTTTGGCCGGGAGGGAACAAGGGTCACTTGCAAACTTCAAGAGGAGTGAGAAATCCATTATTTCCTTCATGTGAAATTTCCTTTTTTAAAAACTCTACTTAAGCTGGGTGTGGAGGCACACACCTATCATCCCAGCAGCTGGGGAGCCTGAGGCAGGAGGGTCGCAAGTTCAAATCCAGCCTCAGCAACTTAGTGAGGCCCTAAGCAGCTCAGTGAGACCCTGTCTCTAAATAAAATATTAAAAGGGCTGGGGATGGGGCTCAGAGGTAAAACGTATCCAGCAAACGACAACAAACCCTCCATATAAGGCACATGAAATGCCCATCTACAAACTTTGGGCTCAGCTTTGCCTGCATCAAGCCCAAGAGGGAAGGGGCTCAAAGGCACCCATCTAGCTTGAAGCGCAGTCTTTGTACGTGGACCCTGGGGAGCACCCGTTCCAATCACTTTACAGAATGGGTGAGAGAATCTCAGAATGGGTAAGTCGTTTTCCTCAGGCTGCACAGCAAGTTGGGTGGAGGCACTGGGATTCAGTAAGGCTACTTCTCTTCTCCCCACACTTGGACAGGAAATGTCCGAAGATGACAAAGGGAGGCAGAGAGAGATGACAGCAGCCTCCGGGGTTGGTCAAGGCCCTTGGAGGCCACGGGCCAGTCCTGTATGGTCCCCAAGAGGAAGCTGAGGGTCGGGGCATGGCTTACCCACATCACCTGAGGGTCAGAAGAGGAGCCGGGGGTTTCTTGGCTGACTTGACCCCTGGCCACCGGAGCATCCTCAGTGCCCTGCCCTTCCCTCAACCCATCCTGGGACCCCGTCTCAAGTGGCCCCTCCAGGGATGGCTGGGAGGGCAGAGTCCCCAATGCTACCCCCCCCCGTCCCAAGGGGGGAGGGGAGCCAGCTCAGGCCACGCCTCTGCGCCCCTGCCCTCCACGGACAGGTAGGGGGAGGGGACTGCTGCCATCTTGCCTATGAGGACCTGGAGGGGACAGCTAGCCATGTCACAGCAGGGTGGAGAGAGGGTCCTGCTCCGGCCTGGTCCCCCCGACCCAGTACCTTGTAGCCGCCGCCCAGGCCTCCGTGGCTCTTGCCGGCCGCAGCCTGCTCGGGGGCCCCGTGCTGTTCCGCCATCTCCTGGGGAGCGTCTGGCTTCAGACCAAAGGAGAACGGGTCACGGGTCCCCGGGGTGGCCTGCTGGGATTAGAGGGGCTGGGACTGTGCTGCTGGGGACTCCCTGGGTCCGTCATCAGCACTCGCTCAGACGCACCCTGGGGACTGGGAGCCCCACGTACAGAGGGACCTTCCCAAGGCACAGACTTGGCCTCAGAGCCCTGCCCTCTCCCCACACCCGTGGCTCCCTGAAGTGGGGTTCTCGGGGCTCCCTAGATGCCGCCTGAGGACCCTGGCCAGAGCAGGCGTCTGGGCGTCACTGCGGGGTCTCTCCCACCCCAAGCCCCAGGCAGTGTGGCCGTCTGTCCCCGGTCCCTTGGTCCTCCAGTGAGTCTGTGAGCACCCAGGCCCGGACCAGGTGACCAGGGTGAGCAGGGGACCACAGCTGGCAGGAGGGACCCAGGGAGCTTTGTCCTCGGAGCCAGATCCTCAGACACCTGCTCTGGGCCAGTTTGCATGCAGCCGGTCACTGTGTCCATGCACTTACTGAGCACTTACTGTATACCTGCACTCCAGTGACAGGAGGAGGGTGACCGCTTCCATCTCAAACTTGTCTCCTCAAGAGACAAACCCAGATAGGGACAGTGACACTCAGCCTGGGGACCTTCAGGTGTCACGGGGAAGGTCCTCCTGATTGCTGCCCACGTGGACACTCACAGGACGCTTCTCCATGCACACACGCACAGCTCCCGGGGCCCCTGCCTAGTGACATCCCACCCACGGGCACGCAGACACCTCCTCACGCTCTCTGTCACGCACACACACGGTGGCACATACAGCCCCCACAGGGACACCTCACACACCGCTGTCCCCACCCTTGTTCCCAGGGAGCCCGCTCCCGACACACAGCCTTGTGGCCCGTGAGCCCTGGACACAGGCCTGGCCACACTTGGGCCGTCTGGTCCCTGTGCCCAGCTCAGCTGGAAGTAGGACTCGGTCCAGCTCCTGGAAGGTCCCAAGGTCCCCTTCCCCTGCTCTGCTCGTCCTGGGAGCCCCGCCCCCGGGCACGTGACAGGGGCCACCGCCCTGTGACACCAGATCAGGAAGGTCCCCGCTGGCTCCCAGTGGGTTTGGTGGCTGTCTGGGGTCCTTTCACTCAGTGCCAACCCTCAGGTGACCCCCGGTGTCTGCAGGGGGTGGCCACCTGGGTCCCCAGGCCTCCTGGGCCGCTCTCCCCCGCCCCCCGGCCCCGCCCAACCCCCCTGTGAACCTGCTGCTGTAGCCTCCGGCAGGACGGGGGACCAGGACGCGCTGCGGACTCGGCCTGCCTCCAGGAGCGCCCTATTTATGGGCGCGTTCTGACAGCCCAGCACATCCCCGCCTGCTGAGGCAGCGTCCTGTCCACCCGATTCTGTCCGGGCCGTCTCACTCCAATAGCCACCCGCAGAGGCCCCCGCGCCACGTCCTCAGATGTGGCCTCTGATGACTTCCTAGGGGCTTTGTGGGAAGTCTGAAAGTGCTGGGCAGGGCAGAGGCCGTGGGGCTCCGGGTGTGCCCAGCTCCCCCCTTGGGTGTCTTGGGATGGCCTCTTTTCCCCCTGGGGTGCACGATGCGCTTGGAAAGCTCAGTTCTGACGTGGCGGGGGGACTCCGGAACCCTCCCTTTTCCATGTGCTGTGAGGCTGAGGCAGGAGGATCAAAAGTGTGAGTCCAGCCTCAGCAACAAAGCAAGGCCCTGAGCAACTTAGTGAGACCCCGTCTCAAAATGAAAAATAAAAAAGGTCTGGGGATGGGGCAGTGGTGAAGCACCCCTGGGTTCAGTCTCTTCTTCCTAGAGATGGCGTACACATCCCAGCTACCATGTATTGAAGACCTACTGTGTGCAGGGCTTCATCAGCATTGTGTGCAGCCCTCACCAGCTATCTCAAGGGGAGGACTTTTGATCTCTGTTTTACATTCAGAAACGGAGTTCTGAGCTGGAGGCCTGGCTCTCAGCCTCAACAGAAATAGAGGCGGAAATGAAGGTCAACTTATTTAGGGCGAGAGCAGATGGAGCCATTTTTCAAGGGTTGGCAGAGCTGGGCTGTGACACATGATCACCCAACAGACCACTGCGGATGACACGGAGTGGACGAGCCGTGGGGGCCCCGAGTGGACGGTTAAGCAAGGTCCCTTTCGCTGTGCAGTCGCTCTGGGAAAGGCCCTGGTCACCTTGAGGCATCCCCTGGAGCTGGTGGCAGGAGGCTGCGGGTGGCCATCGAACCCTGGACTCGACCAGATCCCTGTGACCTGAGGTGAGCAGTGACGGTCCCAGAGCCAGCCTCCTGGGCCACAAATGGAGAACCTGCCCCCTCCTCCCTCCTCTGGCCACGGAGAGATCCTGTGAGCAAACCCCTCAGGCCGTGGCTCCTTCCCCGTTCCCTGGACCCCTGCTGTGGTCACCTGAGGCTCACTGCGGAGGTCCTGAAAGGCCACGCAGCCTCCAGCCCTGCCACTTGGGATGTGGTCGCAGCCTCCCATGGAGCGTGAGGGGGGGCCAAGGAGGGACGGTCCCCCAGGTGCTTGGTGCTGTCATGTCCCAGGCCTCCATAACCCAGAGCCCCAGCCTGGTCCCTCTGCCACCTGCAGCCAGATCCTTCTTGGTGGGGGTGGACGTGGGGAGGGGAGCTGTCCCCTGATGACCAAGTGGCCCCCTGGTCACAGCCTCCCCTCCTGTGGTAACGGAGAGGCCTCCTGTCTTGGCGGATGTCCTCTGGGGGGCATGGCCCTGCCCACTGAGGACCACTCTTGCTGCCGTCACTGTCCATCTGTACAGATGCCCAGAGACGAGCCACCCCCAGGAGGTGGGGACACAAGCCCTTGTCATCTGAATGCAACTCCTGCCTCGTTCCCGTGGGCTCTGGTGACGGTCAGCCACCCTCTCCCGGGACCCTGCTGCTCCTCCTGCTGCCCGGCCAAGAGAGACCGACGTGGCCAGTGAGGACCAGGCCTGCTCGCCGGGGAGACCCATTCATTCACACGGGGACAGGGGACTTCTCCAACGCCACTTGGTCCAAGCTTTATTTGCTATGTTCGTGGCCCAAACGCAGCATCTCTGTGCAAGCCCAGCCCAGGCTCCTCACTGCGGTGGACCGTCCCCAGCTGCTCTGGAGACAGGCAGGGCCTCTATACAGTCACAAACATGAAAGCCCTTGTAGACACGCGACGCCGAGAGGTCAGGGAGCCCCGCGGGGCCTTTACATGAAAAATAGAGGGTTTTCTAGATGGATTCTCAGCCACGCGGTGACAGGTCGTTCCCGGGACTGGCTAAGGTGCCTCTCGCCTGCCCTCTGTCCAGAAGGCCCGGAGCCTGGGGACTCATAAGGCCACTGCGACAACCCGGCGGGCAGAAGACTGCACCTTTCCCTGGAATTGACACCTTCTATGGTGACTCAAAGATCCTAGGAGGGACCCGCAAGAATGACTAGGAAAATAGAGACTCTGTGCATATGGATTTCACCCTCCTGCCCCGGACCGGGAGTGTCCTGAGGGCCAGATCGCCCGCCCGGGAAGGGCAGGACTCTCGGGGCATTGTCCGGGTTTGGGAAACGACAGAACAAAAGTCTCTTCCCTGACGCAGTCAAGGACGTGTGAACCCCGTGTTTATAGGATCCGTAAGGCCGTGTCGGAGGAGGCCACTAAAAAGCTCAGATTCTTCTTTAGACCATGGCATCAATGTCCAGCGGGCCTGATGCCACCAGCGATTGTCACGGAAGGGCAGGTCCGAGTCATGGCAGGAGGAGACGGGGCGCGGGCCAGAGCGCGACTGTTTAAGGAGCTCCCGGGCACGAGGGGACAGGCTCAGGCGTCCACTTCAAGCGTTTGCTTGCCAAAAGCATCAGGTTGACTTTCTGGAAAAGAAAACTGGCTTCCCACCCACCTTCCCACAGAAGCCAACTGGACACAGAGAGCAAGGGACCCAGGAGGACAGGGACGGGGACAGCCAGCTCACTGGGCCTGGTGGCTTCCAGAGCCCCAGCCTGCCTGGTGGGTTACTTGGGGAGCTTCTCAGCACAGACCCCCCCTTGCTCTATCCTTTCTGGATGTGGCACAGGTCCAGTGTCCCCCTCCTCGCACACGGTCCCTCCTGCCCCAGGGAACCAGGACCCCCTGGGCCTTTTGCGTTCCTGTTTCAACGCATGGTGTGGAGAAGGCAGAGGCTGCCGCGGTGCCACTTGGGAACCGTCCACCTGGCCACGCCCACACATCTAAACTGGGGGTGGGAGACTCAGCTCTGCAGTTCTGCCAAGCTCCTGGGGCATCCTGGAGGGTTCACGCACAGATGGAGGTCGCACCGTGACAGCATGCGGAGAAGCCGTGGTCAGCGGTAGGAAAATCACCTGAAGGTCCTTCCAAGTCCCCCGCTCAGCCCCTGCGCTCCAGGCCTGGGACCTGCACATTGCTGATCCAGTCCTTAGCAGGCCGGCGTCACCCCTGGGGATGTGCAGAGGAACATCCGCATCTGTCACCTGGCCCGTCCCCTGGAAGGCACGACCGCCATCTGACTGTCCTGTCCCTGATTGTCGAATGTGAGGCTGTCGCCGCTCCCAACGCCCAACCTCCCTGGGACCACAAGTTCCACCCCCACCTGCCTTCTCGGGGGGCCGAGTCTCCCCAACACTGATTCCCGAGCCCTGGCTGTGGGGACCATGAGGGAGGGGTCTAACTGCAGGACAAGGTACGGACTATCAAAAGGCCAGCTGTCAAAGAGCTGATGTGCAAAGGGGCGGAGGGGACGAGGAGCACGGGAATGTGGGGTCCCCAGCGGGGGAGCCGGGGAGGACGCTGGGTGGGGGCAGGCTCGGGCACCCGGAGGATTAAGGCATATTAAGGTAGTTTAAAAGGGGACAGATTTCCAAAGGAGAAATCGGCAACCCGCGGGGCCACCCCCTGGAACATCAGCCACCTGTCACTTCATTGCGCTGATCATAGCAGGAGCCTGGGGTCCAGAGAACCCGCGTGGCTGTGATTGTCAGCCCTGGGGTGCTGGAAGAGATGCGGAGGTGCATGGACAAAGGTGCAGAGGCTTGTTCTGGCCAGATTCAAGGTCAGTGTTACCTCTTCATCAACAGGGAATTAAGTAGACTTATGCCAACCAAGGAGGGAAAGGCTGGAAAGAACCACCCCAGGGCAGTCTTGTCTGGAATCTTTTGTTTCAGGAATCTCCTTCCTGTCAGGTGGGCTACTATATTAAGAATTGAGGATTCTGCTGGGCACGGTAGTGCACGCCTGTAATCCCAGAGGCTCGGGAGGCTGAGGCAGGAGGATCGCAAGTTAGAGGCCAGACTCAGGAACTTAGTGAGGCCCTCTCTCTAAACAAAAACTTAAAAAGGGCTGGGGGTGTTGCTCAGTGGTTACGTGCCCCTGGTGTTTGCATCAGTATATCAAGATCTGCTCTGTGCCTGCTCCTGAGAGGGAACAAGAAGCCCTTTCACTCACAAGAAAAGATAAAAACTGAGACGTCAGCGTCAAAACACTCAAGAACGTGTCCCTTGACTTGGAAAGCCACCACCTCAAAACTGCTGGAAAACTGAGACAGACCCTCAAGAAAACCAATTCAAGCTGTTCCAGAGGCAGTGAGTCCCCAGGTGGCTGCAGAGGACACCAAGTCCCAGACACGGAGACATGAGGCTCCCAGGTGCAGAGCTGGGAGGGGGCAGGGATGGCGTGGGGTGCCCTGGGGTCTGTGGCCACTGTCCACGGTACTGAACATGGTACTCCCCGGGCACAGGTGTTTGTCCTAACCTGGAGAGACGGAGGGCTGCTGTCCCCCCCCACACAGAGAGATACGAGGTGGTGAAGGCAGAGAAGACCAGGAGGTGGGCATGGGGGGACCAGTGGAGACGTGACCAGCGAGAGACAAGAGAAGCAGGTCTTGACACTCTGCAGAGAAGGGATACCCAGAGATGGCCGCCACTTGGGAAGCCAAGGAGCAGGTGCTGGGGCCCTCCACAGTCCTGCACAGCCCAGAATGTCACCGAGGACATCTCCCAGGCAAAGTTGGCACAAGACTGGTGGCGACTCCAGGCAGGACGGGTGCAGGGTGCTTGCTGGCACCTGGGTTTCCCAAGAGGAGGTGCTGGTGCTGAGTACTCCCAGGGAGAGCAAGAGGCGGGGAAGGCGTCAGGAGCCACCAGAGGCTGTGGCTGCCCCCAGGCTTCGCTTATCGCTAGCAAGAAAGAGAGGTGAAGTGGGTCCCCCCTGTGTCACCAGCACCCAGCACTTCTGCCCAGAGTCCCCGCCCGGGGCTCCCCTCCAGGGAAGGACTTGGAGTGAGATCGGCACTTGGGCCAAGAAGGGCCCTGGGCGGGTGGAGCTGGGTGCAGGTGGGGTGGGGTGGGACAGGAGGACAGGACCCTGTGTGTCCTGGCTCAGCTCGCAGTGGCGGTCCCTCTCCCCAGAAGGCCAGCAGGGTTCAAAGGAGGCCGGGAAAGGAGGCCCAGCGCAGGCCCGACGTCTGGGGGCAAGGGCAGCGCCGTCCCAGCTGCAGAGACAAAGCCTCCCCAGGGATCAGACGGAAAGGAACCAGGAAGATATGGACCAGGGTGACAATGACCGTTTCACCGAGCTTGGACAACCTGAGGTGGTGGCACTTCACGGCTCGCCGTCAGACCCCCCTCCCGGCCTCTACAAACATGGACATATCGAGTTTCAAAGAACATTGGCGGAATTATTGCTTTATCACCTTCTAAAGCAAACAAAAATGACGGACGATGACGCAGTTGGCCCTGCACATGGCTCCTGGAAGGACAGAGACCCTTGAAGGAACGGGAAAGGTGGCTGCCAATGCGGCCTCCTTCCGGGGGAGGAGCCTGCCGAGAAGTCACCAGGAACTGTGGCCTCGTGGCGGTCCCTGGACCAAGGCTGTGTCAGGGAGCAGACACTGGAACTCTCTGGAAAACCTCCTTCCCAGAAGACCTGCCTGGGGAGGAGCAAGGTGCCTTCCCAATGCGGGGCTTTCCCAGGACCCAGGGTGACAGTCCAGCCCCGGCGTCCACGGCTCGGAGAGAGGGTCCAGATGGGAACTTCTGAGGGAAAGGCAGGACCCGGCGGCGTGGGCCTTTCTGCACGGCCGGGCGTCGTCCCAGGCAGCGGTGCCGTCTAGGGAGCTGAGTGGGGCTGTGGAGGCCGGGCCTCCTGGCCGGATCCTGGGGCTCTGGACAGTGGTCTCGGGCCTCGGGAGGGGCCCAGGCACGTGTGCGGGGTGCAGGAACGGCGGCTCGGCCTCAGCGGCGGGTTCAGACAGTCTGGCACTTAAGGCTTCTGTTAATTGGGTGTGGCGGTGTCCCCTGCCTGGAGAGGAAGGGACAGTCCTGTTATCAGTAGTGGGAACATTTGGCCCCGATCCTCTCCGTCACCAGGGCTTCCAACCTTTTGGGGGGGCTGGGGATGCTGCTCAGTGGTGGTACATGTGTTTAGCAGGTGCGAGGCCCTGGGCTAGATCCTCAGCACCCCCAAATAAGTCAATGAGCCAGGCCCAGTGGCCCACGCCTGTCATCCCAGAGGCTCGGGAGTCTGAGGCTGGAGGATCTCAAGTCCAAAGCCAGCCTCAGCCACAGCAAGGCCCTAAGCAACTCAGGGAGACCCTGTCTCTAAATAAAACACAGAATAGGGCTGGGGTGGAGCTCAGTGGTCGAGGGCCTCTGAGTTCAACCCCTGGTACCCGCTCTGCCCCCCCCCAAATAAATAAAAAATTCAATAAAATAAATATATAACCTTTTCTGATAATCCCAAGAGAGTAATCCCCACAAGCCTCAGGACTGGCATGAAATCATTTGGGGGCAGAGAGAGGAGGAGCAGACAGTCTGGTTCAGTGGAACAAACTTGACATTTAGGACCATTTCTGAGCCTCAATTTCCTCAAATGAACTGCTGGTGAAAACACTGTATTATATAATTCAAAACAGCTAAAGGAGCGGATGGGGGATGCTCTCCCCACAGAGGAACGATGAGTGTTTGCGGTGACGGATGAGCTAATGGCACCGTGTGACCACGGCAGGGAATACAGGCCCTGAAACACCACAATGCACCCCACAAATATGTACAACTATCTCATGCCAATAAAACACAGTCTTTGAAAAATGGATTTCCCCTGGCCAGGCGCAGTGGCCCACGCCTGTCATCCCAGAGGCTGGGGAGGCTGAGGCAGGAGGATGGAGAGTTCAAAGCCAGCCTCAGCAAAAGTGAGGCCCTAAGCAACTCAGTGAGATGCTGTCTCTAATAAAATACAAATAAGGGCTGGGGTCAGTATTTGAGTGCCCCAGAGTTCAATCCCCAATTCCAAAAAAAGAAGAAAAAAAAGAGTGGATTTCTCAAGGCTTCCGTGGGCCGGTACAGGTACCCCACTAACACAAAGTCCACGTAGGTCCTCATCTCCGAGCCAGTCCCTTAGGCAGATTTGGGGATTTATGGGTCTTCTTGGGCTTAGCCTATACACATACCTGTGTGTCCACATACGTATACGTTAAGTGACATATCACATACGTGCATACGTACCCTGCAACACTCACAGTGAAGCACCTGACATGACTCAGAATTCACTAAGGTGGGCCAGTCGGGGCTGGGGTCCCAGCTCAGGGGCAGAGCACGTGCCTAACGTGCAGCACCCCCAGAAAAAATGAAGTGGGGCGGGTGGAGTGGGGCAGCACGGCGCCCGCTCAGGGCTGGCTTTGCCCGGAAGGCATTCGGGAGGGCCTGCCACCAGCACTAGTGCGCTTCAGGCCGTGGGTCCCTCTGCTGATGCACTGCCGCTGACGCGAGCACCCTGGGCCCCGGGTAGACCGAGGCCACAGAGACAGCACGGGAACACCTGGGGTGGGACCTCTGTGGGCCAGGGGTCCTCGGTGACACGGGCACCGCTCTCCAGTTTGCAGATGGGGAAGCCGATGGTCACCGTGTCGGGCCCTCTGGCAGCAACAGCAGGGCAGATCTGATCCCTGGACGTTTTCTCTGACCCAGTCAGCCCCCTGCTGGCTGCAGGTCCACATCAGTGGACTCACAGCCCCCCACTGGAAATATATGGAAAGAAGAGAATGTGCAGCACCCATACAGGTTTTCCTTGTCCTTCTTCCCTGAGCAGTACAGCGTGGTGACCACACAGCATCTGCACTGATTCTAAGTCACCTGGTGTGATTTCAAGAACGTGGGAGAATGGGATTCGTGCAAAGGTTGCGCCATGTTATACTTGAGCTTCCCCAGATTCCGGTACATGGGGAGGGGGTCCTGGAGCCAATCCCCAGGAGACACCAAGGGACGACTGTTTTTCAGATTGAATCTTCATGATGCAGCTGGGTCACAGACATGTTCCATTTGTAAAATTTGCAACATTTCAGATTACGCTAATTCATTAGTCCTTCCATGTCCAACTTTTCCCTACAAGGGGCCTGAGTTGGAGCAGGAGGGGCTGGCCCAGCCCGTGAGGCCCCTGGCGTGGGACGCTGGCCCTGTGGCCTCTCTAGCCACCCCAGGCTCCCAGCTTTGTTTTCTCCCTGTGGGGGCAGATTGTCACCACCCTCCTTACAGCCCCTCTCCTCCCGCCTCCCACCTGGGCCTCCCCCTCCCGCTCTCCCCAGCAGGCCCCTCCTACCCGGTCAAGCTTGGTTCTCATACAGGCTCCGCCTCTTCTTGGACTTCAGGTCCTTCAGCCACTGGGGAGAGGGCTCCTCTGACCTGAAACCACAGGGTCAGTGGGTGTCAGGGGACCCAGGCCACGGGCTCTCACAGGCAGCACCAGGGTACCCTGCCCCACCTGCCATGCCGAGGCGGTGCTGAGCCGGGCACCCGTGGGTGGCAGGATGCCCGTGTTAACACCGCTGATGAGCAAGCGCTAGAAACCAACCAAAGCCACAGTGGGTGCTGGGTAAACCCCGGGGCCCGCTGTGGACTAACGTGTGGCCGTGAAAGGCCACCTGATGTGAGACCTTTCCACCCATCACCCAGACACACGTCACCCTTGCTCTCTGGGTAACACCTGGGCTACTTTAGGTGTCACCTTGGCTACAACGGCACCCAGATATTTAGTCAGATATTTTTCTAGATGTTTCTGTGAAGGTATCTTTTTCTTTTTCTTTTGGTATCATTGAATTGAACCCAGGGACACTTAAGCACTGAGCCACATCCCCAGCCCTTTCTACTTTTATTTTGAGACAGGGTCTTGCTAAGTTGCTTAGGGCCTCGCTTCTTTGCTGAGGCTGGCCTCAAACTTGCAATCCTCCTGCCTCAGCCTCCTGAGCCACTGAGATTACAGGTGTGCACCACTGTGCCTGACTGTGAAGGGTATTTTTGAGGAGGTTGTTATTATTATTATTATTAGTAGTAGTAGTAGTAGTAGCAGTAGTATAGCAGTGTTAGGGATTGAACTCAAGTCCTTTTGCATGCTACACAAGTGTGCTGCCACTGAATTACACCCCCAGTCTGAGACTGATGTTTAGAGCAACATACTCAGTAAAGCAGATCACCCTCCCTCCTATGGGTGGGCCTCACCCAGTCAGTCAGAGGCCCTCATAGGAAAAGACTCATCTCCCAGGAGGAAGGGGGAATTCTGCCAGTGTACTGCCTTTGGACTTGAACTCCGGCTCTCCCTGGGTCTCCAGCCTGCTGTCTCTGGGGCACGCTGGACTTTAGCCCAGGCCACCTGTGCCTGCAGACCCTGCCCCGGGGCACTGAACGCCGAACTGCAGGCTGTACCCAGGGCAGGAGGCACTTCTGGCCACACCCCTCCCCCGTCAGCTGGTCCTTCTGCTTCCCGAGGCGCCCTGGGCTGTGCCGGGACAGCACCGCAGGCCTTTCCACGTTGGCACGGCTGGATGAGGTCACTGTTCCCTCCCCTAGTGAGATGGGTTTGTCCTTCAGGACTCTCAAAAGTGTCCCCTTCTGTGGAAGCCACTGGGGACACCCTTCCTCCTGCACTTGGGGTGATGACTCCCTCCTCTCCACAGGGCCAAAGGGGAACCCTTCCTGCATTGGGCGCCACGGCACCTAGTGAATGGGCGTGTCCGTGTGCCAATAAAGCTTTATTGACAAACACAGACAGCGGGCCGGATCGGGCCTGGGAGTCGTCATTTGCCACTGTGTGCTCTGTCACCTCACTGACGAGGTCACACCCTGGGCTCACGAATGAGCCTGAGCTTCATATGCTAACAGTCCTCGCGAGATGTCCACTCTCCCAGGGGACTTCTCATGCCAGCCACCCGCAAAGGGCTCTGTTCACGATTGGTTCATCCTCGTGGCCAGCCGAGAGGTTTGAATTAGCAAAGCCACTTCACAGACAGGAAGCCGAGGCTTAGGGTGGTCAAGTAACATTCCCCAGGTTCATCAGCAGCGCGACTGAGGAGTTGCACGACCTTGGCTGCTGACCTTGGAGCCTGTGCCCTTAACCTCCAAGGCCAGCTGCTGGCCTGGTCTGAGCGCTGCGGGACGCAGGGGTGTCCTGGGCTCCTCCATGCACGGGGAGGCCTGGCCAGGAAGGGGACCCGGCAGTTGGTATTTGTTATGGCTGTGCCCTTGGGACCACCCTCCCTGGCCCCCCACCTCCAGAGATAAAGGCACCCCCAGGAGGGTGACAGGAGGGAGGTGGCCTCTGGTTCCCCGTCATCTGGAGAAGGCTGCACCCATCAGGGGTTCCCCAGCGTCAGGGGCTGGTTTGGGGCAGGAGGCAGCAGGAGGAGGGCAGCAGGCCGCGGTTGACCAGCCTCCTTCCCTCCTCTGCAGCAGACTCTGGCCGTCATGCTGGAGAGATCGGGAGGTGAGACCCTGGTCCCCCGGCCTCACCTCTCGTCCTTGTCCATGCTGGAGGGCAGCACGCGACTACCCAGCACCCCAGGCTGGAAGGGGGACTTGGGGGCTTTGGGTTGGGGGCTCCAGCCGGGGGTCTCTCCAGAACTGTCCACCTCTGGCCTCCTGGGCAGCTGGGCCTGGGGAGAGAAGAGCCGGGTCTATAACCACCTTCCACCTGCACAGGGGACTCTCCGGTGACCCGGGCAAGCATGGCGGCCCCCAGAAGCAGTGGGCCCTGAGGCTGAAGAACCAGGCAGGAAACAGGGCTGGGGAGAGCCAGGGGCCAGGTGGCATTCCAGCAGGTGGCCTTGGCCTTCGAGGTCAAGTGGCCACCCAAACCCACAGTCACATTCTCCTACCTCCCACCTCCCCACCCCCGGGGGACGGCAGCTCCATCCTGTGGTGACAGGGAAGGTCCCTTCAGCTCCTGGTTCCAGGCAGTGCTGGGTGGGTCCCAGCCACGGTCACTGCCACCACCACCCACTGACCGCCCCCGGTGAACCAGCCCCAGCCTCCTCTCCAGGAGCCAAGGCACAGCCTCTTTCCACCTAGCGCAGGGGATTCCAGATGCGCTCGAGGATCCAGGGTCTGCCCCAGGGGTGACTCAGGACGTCGCCCCAGCCCTGCCCCTCCTCAACCAGGACCCCTCCTCTGCCTCCGTTAGGCCCCTTCCAGGATCCTTTGTTCCAATGCTAAGGGAATTTCTTTTTTTCCTTTCTTTTTGGTACTGGGGATTGAACCCAGGGGTGAACCCGCCCCCAGCCCTTTCTCACTTTTTTACTCAGAGACAGGGTCTCACTGAGTTGATTAGAGCCTCACTAAGTTGCTGAGGCTGGCCTCAAACTTGCAATCCTCCTGCCTCAGCCTCCCCAGCCACTAGTATTACAGGCATGCACCACCTCATCCAGCCTTAGGAAATATTTTTTGACTTTTAAGTTTTTAAATTTATTACAATTTTTTTTTCACTTTATTGAGTCCGATAACCTCTGGCCCTGGATAGTGGCTCAAGAGATGTTCCTATTTGGAGGACCTGTGAGATCCATTAAAAGGCAAGGTCCAAACACTATCTAGTGACTTTTGATTTTTGCTAAAAAGAACACAGAACGCAAAGCTTCGGTCTACCAAAAGAGGAACAGGCCCGTGGCCTCTGCTAGACGGTTTTTGTGGCCTGTGCCAAATATCCGGAGTTGCTGTTCCACGAGGAATCTGGGCTTTTCTGCCTTCAACAAAGGGCCGCAGAGACTCGTGTGGGACTGTGGCGTGTGAGTGAATGCACAGTCGCCCAGAGCCAGGAGCGCAGAGGGCCTTTCCTTGTCCGCAGTAAGTACCGCTTCAGGGAGGCCGCCAGGTGGCCCTGGGCGAGCTGGGAGGGAAGAGGCTGCCCAGCACCTCCCCCTGGACCCCATAATCCAGCTGGGATTCTGGTAAGTTTAAGAGAGCGTCAGGTGCCAGGGCAGCCCTCCCGCCAGCCAGCGTGGAACTGAGCGTGTCTTGTGTCTTCCATCTGGGGGGGGGGGCTGGGGGGGCTCTTGGTTTCCCAGCACTGGCCTTAATGGCCAAAATGGATGGCCAGCTCCCTTCACTGGTGAGGACCCTGAGGCCCAGCTGTGGGCCACACAGCAGCAGGTCTGGGGGCCGAAGAGAGGCCGCAAGTGGAAATCAGTGCTCCCGTGGGACAGCAGCAGGGGACAAAGCTGACTGGAAGGTGTGTAGGAACCTCACTGCTTTTAGAACGTCCCTTGGGCCTTAAATTATTT